GTTCTAGCAAATCATGAGGCTTCTCCCAAATAAACCTAGGCTGAACAAGTTCATGAGATGCCAACGGTCATGTTGCTGACAGGGCAGCCTGCAAGGGAGATAAGGAGTTGGGAAGGAGAGGGAGGGAGTCAGGCAAGGTGGTCAGGGGAATCTCGCAGCTCTGACTGACTAGCAACCAAGTGCTCATTTATACAGGTTTCACAGAACAAAGACTAATGATCATCCAAGAAGTATAGGTTATATGTTTGATTTCTCATTACATGTCCAGGGTTACAAGTTCAATCATAGTTAGAAAATACAAATAGAACAGATTTTATTTTTACTATTATCTCTATAACTCCAATTTAAAGAATCTAAAGAATGTCTCCTCCAAAGCAAGCACATTTATTCTATGACAGCCTGCTTTTAGGCTGGCAGTGTTTGCAGTTTTAAAGCACTCCAGACAAACAGAAAATATCTGAACCGGTCTTTTTTATGAATAGCAAATACTAATACCAAACTCCCTTTATTACATTGTTTCATCATTACACTACATAAAGTAGGAAAAGTTAAGTCAATCTATCATATTTTCTGAGTTCTCTTCCTCCAGGGTGTACTGTGTGTGACCCCTATCTTTAAACCACATTTTCAGAGAGTTCCAAGCATGTTGTGAAGGGAGGCCTTGGCTCTGACCTCGTCCCCTGGCCAGTCAGGGTTTGTCACTTGTCTCTGTTTACCTTGCACCAGTTACACTGTTCGAGTTTGCTCAGGGGCAGATACCCCAAGATTAATCCTGGAGTAGTGGCTTCATCTAGCTATGTGCTCATCTGTGCTTAAGATCTCCAGAACCTAAGACTTTTAAATAGGGCCAGATAAAGTTAATTTTAGGATTTTCCTAGAAAGACTCAGATATAATTTTTCTCAGGAAAAGACATAAAATAAATCATAATGCAGCAAGTCCCGAAGAAGGCAGCATGCAGATACCAAAACCCAAAAGTGAGAGACAAAATGACAGCAATTGCAGCATTCAGCGCAGCCTTGCTCGAACTATGTCACATAGCTGTGCTAGCTTCGTGACATTTGCTGTTTCTAGTGTATGTCTGTGCCAACAGGACACTTTTTCTTATTTACCAAGGCTGTAAAACATGGCATGGCAGGGCTTTTCCTCATTGAGAAGTGAGAGTAGGCAGTCAGCTCACAGCAATTTGATTGATTAGATTTTGCTAGGTGCCTGTGTTGTCATGCTACCACTTCTCTGCAGTCTGGTGATGGTAGGCTGGTCCTCCCTATCCACCATGGCTGACTAGGCCATGCTAAAGCAGCAGGCCCTCCCATTGACTACTTAGGCCACATTTTCACAGGGCTTTGTAGAACTTGGGGTCGCAAGGTTGCTTAGCCACCCACCAGCTAGCCATCTCGCATACGTTGGATAACTGAGTGCCAGCCCTTGTTCTGGGCCAGCTCAAGGACTTGGGCAGGTAGCATCCCTCTAGTGTTTAGCCATTCAGCTGGTCTCTGAGGTCACCTTTTTTTCCTTCGTGCTGCAAGCCATGGCTCCCAGGGGAGACTAGAGTCTCTGCTCTGGAACATAACCTTGTCCTGTTCTCCTGCTGCAATTTTTTGTTTGTTTGTTTGTTTGTTTGTTTGTTTTTCAGATCAGGAACACCTGGATAAAGAAATAGAGATGCTCCGGAGAGAACTTAAAGTGAAAGTTAACCGCCTCTTTGAAGCCCAAGGTACTGGCCTGGCAGGGCTGGAAGCTTGGTACCAGGTGGTGGGGACCATTGAGAATGCTAGAGAACAGGTGTGGAAAGCCACTCAGATGGGCAGTGGGAACAAGCGGCAATTGTCTGTAGCTGCTCAGAAATAGGACGTGGAGGTTTGTGGAGCTTATTCTTGTCATAGCTCCCTTCCGAGGCACTGAGAGCCTGGGGTTGATCTTGCATGGTGTGGCTGTACCAGGGTAGCTAGGACAGGAGGAACTCAGAAGACTTAGTCAGAGGTCAGAGCTTACTAGTAAACTTCAGCACATTGGACCCCGGGCCTGATGGGAATTTGGAGGTCTGGGTAGCGGTCATGACTTTGCAGGTTCTTGGCCCAGGAGCAGTGTTGCTTTGTATCAGCCTGTGCACTGCAGAATCTGAGGCCCAGATTTACGTGTCTCGGGTTGAGCTGGCAGTATTAATGCAACGTTAGCCATTTTCCTGGGCCTGGCTCCAGAGCCAGCAGTAGGTTGGGCAGCAGGGGTTCTGACTGGATCGTGACTATCTTCTTCTTGCAGGAAAACCAGAGCTGAAGGGTTTTAACCTGAACCCCCTCAACCAGGATGAGCTTAAAGCCCTCAAGGTCATCTTGAAAGGATGAGACTCACAGCAGGAAGGGGGACCTATGACTAGGACCCTCCAGCCTTAAGATCTGCAAGGACAGGATTGTCTGTTTAAGGGGACAGGCACCAGGAATGTGGCTTCTGTACAATATCTTTTTCTGTAGTGCTTGGCTGCTTTGTGACGAGAGAGAACCCTTAGTCTATTCTGTGTGTTGGCCTGGCCACCCGAGCTTGGACACAAGACCTATTGACAGACCCTGGCAGCCATCAGTAGGTGTGTGGGGGTGTGAGAATGGCTGCAGCCAACAGTTCTCAACAGTAGCCTGCTGTTCAGAAGGGCCTGGTCAGGGATGGAGGGGAGAGGGCGGGCCGGGAGCATCGTTCCAGCCTTCTGCATGGCGAGGCGTTCTCAGGCATTGTGTATGACAATTGGAATAAGCAGGAGACGGTTCACTTCTCTATGAAGCAGACTTACTGTCCCTCACCAGCTGCGGGGTGGACTCCCCACTGCCTCCAGTTCCGTCCTTTTCCTGCTGGTGTTGTGTGATAGGTGCTGCCAGTCACCCTGTGGCTGCTCTTGAGATAGGAGACCCTACAGAGCACTGGCCCAAGGCCGGCAGGCAGGAGCCTTCATAATATGACATGGAGCAGCCTCCTGGCTTCTGGCCTGGATCATAGCGTGCATGTGGCGTGGCATGAGAGCAAAACTGGCCTCTGTTCCCTGAGGCTCAATAAACACTAACTGAACAAACTGCAGTTGTGAGTTGTCCTTCACCAAGGGCCCTGCCCTTTTATTAGACTGCTGCCTAAGAAAGGAGGTGGCTTTTGCCTTAAAAGTGTGTGACATCTGCAGTCAAGTCAAATTCAGTTCCCGTCTGGTCATGATGGGAGCTGGCCCAAATGGCTGCCACAGCAAGCTCTGCTGCTCATGGGCCCTGTGTCCCCTGCCCTGGGACCCAGGGATAAGTTTGGCCGCAGACATTGCATCAACAGTGACAAAATGTGTGACATTGAGAATAAACAGGAACCACTGTCTGTCACCCTCGCTGCATTTGGCCTGTAGTTACATTAGCTGATACTGCTAGATCAAAAGTTTCTTCCAAGATGAAAGCAGGGGCTGGAGAGGTGGCTCTGGGGTTGAGAGCACTGGCCATTCTTTCAGAGGGCGAGGCTCAGTTCCAAGCCCCACAGAGTGGTTTCTAATAGCCATAATTCCAGTTCTAGGGTACATGTCCGCATGTACATGCAGGCAAAACACTTTCAAAGTGAACTAGTCAGGCATGGGGCATACGCCTTTAATTCCACACTCAGGAAGCAGAGTCAGGGAGATATCAGCTCAAGGCTAGCCTGGTCTATATCGTTCTAGTGCAGCCAGCCAGAACTATATAGAAAGACCCTGTCTCAAAAAAAAAAAAAAAAAAAAAAAAAAAAAAAAAAAAAAAAAAAAAAATAGAAAAGGAACTAAAAATTAGAATTAAGCCAAATATTTTAAATATTGCTGATGCGTCACCAGATATTTAAAAACTTGTGTTGATTTAAAAAAAAAAAAAAAAGTAAACCAAATACCTTATGTAAGGCAAATTTGGCCCATGGTCGTGGGTTTGCTTTTTGGGTTTTACAGACATTCCTGTGTTAGATTCAGACCAGGCATGCCTGCACTGGGCTCTAGTTAGAAGACCACAGCTTCAGAGAGGAAGCTTAGCTCAGGCTGAGTAAGGTACTTGAACCTTGAGGTGGGCTGAGCAGTGTGTGAGCTACAGACTAGAGAGATGCCATGTGGTCCTCTTAGGACAAATGGCAGGGCAAAAGGGAAGATGTTCCTGTCTGCCCAACCTCCATTGAACTTATAAACCATATGAAGAAAATACAAACTCAGCAATTCGCTTTGATGGCAGCTACCCAGTAGGTTGGCCAGGCACAGTTTCTCCACTGGAATACTGCGTCTGTTTGCCTCCTAGGATACTGAGCCAAGGCGCCCAGCAGCTCTATTCTGGAAGCAAGAACCTCGAGTTCATACTTAAGAACTTTTGAGCTTGGGAAACCCCTGGGCTCTGGAAGCAGACTCGTAGTGGCTCAGCTCCCAGTCTCCCAAATTGGTTTGCTTCTTGATTTGCTGGTGTTTCTTCCCCAGAGTTTCCTTCAGGCTTACTTTAGGCAGTCAGGTTTGCAAATTGTAGGCAAAGACTGCTCAGAAGGTAGGTTGCCTCCCCGCCCAGGCTTACTGCCCCCTCTCAGACCAGGAGGGAGGCCTCTTGGGATGTAGTAAGCCACCTGACTCCCCATGTGATCTTGCCTGTCAACTGTTAGCCTCACTTTGATTTTAAAACTCAAAGCCCCAAATGAGAGTTGGGTTTTCCAGAAGCCCTGGGTAAGAACTGTTGCCTTCCCAGTTCTCTTTTTATCTGAGACACAGATTCAATCACATGTGTGTTTAATCTGACAGATGTGGCTTCCACATGGCAGAGGACAGGGTACATTCAAGGCTTGGCACTCTCCTAGACTTGCAGTGGACAATCTAAAAATCATTTACTTTGCAAGAAGACAAGTTTCCTAGCCCCAAGGACCCTTCACTGTGACCAAAGAGACGTGAAAATGTCAGCGGATCCCAAGTGAGGCTCAGTGCTGCGAGACTCAGTCTGTGGTTTATTGGACATGCTCTCTGAGTGGTAGAACTTGATGCTTGGCCTCTTTGGGCCTAGTCACCAGCCTGTCAAAGATGAGCCCACTCAGTTCCAAAGATTGGATGTTCCTGGTTTAAAGATGCCTGGGGCTGGAGTAGGGAGTCTGATCCAAGTAGCAAGCTGAGGCTGCCTGTCCAGTAAAATGGTGCCAGGCCAGAGGGAGGGAAAGATCGGTGCACTGTGCTGGAATCTTGCTACAAGAGGCCAGGGTGGCACCTGCCAGGGCCTCGTTCCTCCTGGCCGCAGTCAGCCAGAAGTTTTCTTCTGCGCTTGAAGGGACCGAAACAGCTGCCTCAGCTGCTCCTTCCGATCGTTGATGCAGCCTAGGGAGAACAGGGGTGTTGGCTGGGGCGGCCTGTACACCCACGAGCTGGCACAAGAAGGGGCAGCAGGGGCTGTGTGGTCGTGGGCGGCCCCCCTGCTGGACCAGCCCCAGGTCACCTCTGAGCTAACCAGCTTTCTCAGGATGGCACCACCCACCTCGCAGAGTGAGTTCAGTGGTCAGCAAAGCCTTAAGATGACCGGGGTTCACCTGCTTGAGGCACTGGCCCCAGATGACGAGCATGGTGATGTGTAGCCAGGAGACTCAGGTTGTCACCAAAGTGCATGAGTAGCAGAACTGAGTTGATCTGACGTTCTGTGGTGCCAGAGTCACATTCAACGGCTTCTCCAGACTACACTGCCCTTGACTTTGCCCAGTGAAACAAAAAGCCAGCAGTGCCTGGTGCCTAGCAAGGGCTAGCTTACAGCTCTACCCAGCTCGTCCTGGAAGTATGTCCCAGGCAGTCCTGCAAATTAGCCAGAAAAGCTGTTCCCTGCTTAGTCTCAGAGCAATGCCAGTTTTTATTTGTAGTCGGACACATCTGTAACATTCATAAGTGCTACTGGAATGACCTGACATCCTATGGCCACAAGAATTGACCAGAGATTCCCATTTCCTTCTTAACAATCCCAAATCCACTCTTGCCCCCAAGGCTGTCCCAGCTGCCAGGCTTCAGCAACCTGCCTTGTGCATCCTTGGCATCCGAAGTAATTCCGGGGAACCTGCTTTAATGTTTTGGTGTGCTCATTGTGCCAAATCTTCAGGTCCAGTGCAAACCCTTTCTTGGAGTTCTAGATTCATCAGAGGACTTTTTTTTTTTCTAACCTTTTCAGCCAGTGACCCTGAACCTATTCCTACCTTCCTCAATCATCAGCTACCCGAGACCTCCAAACCAACAAAAGAAGTACATTTCCTGTGAGTACTTAGTTCATGAAGGTAGTCTACTATTAAAAGAAAAAATCAGTAAAAACCCAGGACAGCTTGCAAAAGAGGAAATACAAACTAAAAACGGAAGCCTCCTCAGTAATCAATGGAATTTACGTAAAATAGTAGTGAATTCACTAAGGGGCTTGTACTCCCTTCCAGTAAGTCCAATAAGTCTATCCCTCTGGCTACTCTACTTCCAGGGATCCAGGGGAAACAGCCATTTTCCGTGGGTTTCATGGACGAGGATGTTCAGCACAGTGTTAAGGGAAAAGATGAGATTGCACCGAGTGCCCGGTGATAAGCAATCAGCTTGCTAACCGCCGCCGCCATACAGGAGGGATGGCGTGCTCCACAGCCTTTCGGCAACTGCCTCGTAACTCTTCTGAGACTAGGCGGGTCTAGAGGTCAGGATTCAGGGATGAGGGTTCAGGCTGGCTCATCGCTATGACAACAGCCTTCTGTGGTCTGTGTCACCTTTGGAGGCCATTTCCTCACCTATAGGGTAGTCACAGAAGCTCCTACTTAAAATGTGGTAATGCATGTAAACAGCCCCGGCTAACACGTGCTCCCCACAGGACGGCCTTTGTATTCCTGAATGGAGAGGTGCCACGGAAAAAGTGGGACTCCGAATGCCAGTCTGGTGCCAGATTTACAAAAATATGAATACATGCATTTTTTTTTTAACTGGAAGGAAACACCAGATTGTTAATGATGGTTATGTCTGGATGTGTTTTTAAATTTCCTTCTTTAGTTTTCAAATATTCTACAATGAGTGTGAATTTCTATAATTGGGAAAAGTTTCACATTTTATATACTAACTTTATCGAAGAGTCCTGCAGACTAACTTTTCTGAAAAGGGTTTGTTCTCCACCTGTATCTAGAAACCCCCACCTGACAGCTCAGATATTTCTCACCACAACAGGCAGGGTCCTACCAGGAGTGTCCCACCTTTTGACCTTGTGATCAGACATTGTGGTCTACAAAGTTCAAACTTGAGAAGTATGCAAAAAGTCACACACACAGCGTTAAACATACACACGTGCTCACACATACAAAGTTGAATTTAAAAACTCTCATAAGTGTTTTAAGTAAGTCTAGGATTTAGCGTTGGGCCGCGTTTACTGCTACCCTTAGATGCGCTCAGTTCGTGAGGTCCCCAGGCTGCAGGTTGGACATGACGCCTGTGAGACACTACTCATCTGTGTGTTAGGGGTGAAGAAGAGAGGAGTCAGACTGCTCGCCTGAGTCACACAGCTGGTGTGCGGCAGGCTGGATTGACAGGATCTCAATGCTACACCGAGCTACCCCCCAGCACACCTGCACTTCCAATGACGGTTCTCACTTCACTTCCTGTCTGGCTCGGCATACCTAGGTGAGTGTTGGTCACAAAGTTTCCCATCCCTGATAGGTCAGAAGACCCCTCCTCTCTGCTGACAGGGCCATCATTCCACATGAGGTCGAAGCCCCCGACTCTCTTCTCCCTTCCTGTGAGCCTGGGATGCAGAGGTCAAAAGAACATACAGTGAGGCTTTAAGACAGCACCTGTCTCACCAAAGCCAGGTGCCTTGCAGCTGTGCAATGGGGCCACCTTCATTTGGAGGCCCTACTCACCCTTAGTTATGTGCTCAATTTGTAGTTTCTGGTTTAAAATCTGCCCCTCCCCCCAGGCACTCACCAGTCCCCGAAGCTGGCCCTGTATTCTCTCCCCCAGAAACAGTGTTAGGGTGGCAAATAGCCTCTTAGTGAACATTGTAAACCAGGGGCTTGATGCATTGTCTTCAGTGAGTTACTCTAACAGCCCGAGGCCTTTATGATGCTCCCTACTATACAGATGAGACTCAGAGAGGGGAAGTGACTGGCTTAGAGTCCCACAGTCAGGAAACTTTGAGTTAAGTGCAGCTACACTGAGTTCTTGGGCCTATGGGCGTCACAGTTTCTCCACCTATGCAAAACGTACCTCAAGGTTCTGAGTCCCCTCTTCTGTCACAGGAGCCCACCTGCCACTGACAGGGAACAGGCGGGACCCTACCTGGCCTCCATGTCCACCACATGCAGGGTGTCTTCCAGAAGACAGGTCTTGAGTTCATAGTCCTCCTGGCTGCTGGCCGTCAGCGAAGGAGATGAATTGACTTCTAGAAGCCATCTGGGGAGGGCAAGGGAGAACTGTGGGGGGCAGCAGAGGGCCTGCCTGCCTTCTACCTAAAGGATAAGATGGAATGCGAACCTCCGAGTGTCTTACAGCTTAGAAAAGCGTCCGAAGAATGTGCTTCGGACATTCTTGTGAGGATGGGAAATGAACCCACACAAGATGCAAGGGCTTCACACAGCTCAAAGTTCTGCAGCTGGGTGGAGATGATACCCAGCAAGGTGATAGAGAAAAAAAAAATCCTACAACAGCCCATGTCTGTAAATACTGAAAACAAAACAAAACAACGGCTAAAGAGTTGGAATAGAATTACCCCACGTGGGTGGAAAAGATATTCCTGGAAGCTGTGAGGTCATTGACTGAAAAGTCTAGTTCTGGGGTGGGTTACCTCCCCGAGCGCTTGCCAGGCTCCACACTGCTGTCGCTGCATGCCAGGACTACATCATAAGACCCTATTGCTGCACTCGGTTGTAGGGCGCCGGAGAAGCCAGACTGGGTCTGGATGCTCCCTCCCTGCTGGTTAGCGCTTGTGGGGCTGCAGGCACTGTGCCGGCTGGTGGAAGGACTTGTTACCAGTTTGCCCAGCTGTGGGTACAAAACGCTAGTGCCGTCAGCATGCCAAGTAAGCTGTGCCCACTGGTGCAACAGTGGCCGATGGATCCAAGGCCTGCGCCACAGGAGGGAATCCATGTTTGATGCTGTCAGTCAGGACAAAACCCCATAGCTGGAAGGGCGAAGGCCCTAGTAGGAAAGCTACTGTAGTTGGACACGATGGCGGTTAAAACAACAAAAACCTTTCTAAATCTAGGAGCTTATACACCACTCCCCAATTGGTGCTTCTTTGGTCCCAGCCTGGGAAGCCTTCTTCTGCTACAGTTACTGCAGAGACTCAGGTGCTAAGAAACAGCAACAATTATGGTGGCATTACAGCCAGATGCTCAGCCCTAAGAGAGAGAAAGTAATCAGATCCCTCTTTCACTCCCTCTGAGGCTCAGGAAACACTGTAGAAGAATAGGCAAAAAGAACAGTAAGAGCCAGAGCAGTGGGGGGAGGGCAGAGCAGTGGGGGGAGGGCAGAGCAGTGAGGGGGAGGGCAGAGCAGTGGGAGGGGGCAGGGCAGTGGGGGAGGGCAGAGCAGTGGGAGGGGGCAGGGCAGTGGGAGGAGCAGAGCAGTGGGGGGGG